TTTTTTTTTTTTTTTTTGTACTGGGGATTGAACTCGGGTCCTTGTGCTTCCAAAGCAGGCCACCAAACCGCTGAGTTAAATCTCTGGCCCCATACTATGTCTCTTAATCTATATTATGGCACATGATTTCACTTTATTACACTCTGAAAAATAAATTACTCAAATTATGTTAAAACATCATAAAAATAATGAGTGACATCTTAGAAGTGTATTCCATTATGGAGTTAGGACTTGGATCTATTTGTTCTGTTTAAAAAAATGGCTGAACATGAAATCACAAATTACTAGATGTAATGAATTAAGAAAAGAAATCATGCAGTTTTCATAGTGAAATCTAATTGAAAGAAACTTCTTACCATAAACTTCATATTATTTAAATTTTAAAAATTAAAAACTTAAAGTTCTCCTTTATAGTATGATGACTATAGGGAGCATTCACACACACACACACACACACACACACACACACACACACACACACAAGCAAGGCAAAATATAGGACATGTGTACTTCTCTGAAATAATCTTCCATAGGAGAAAATGAAGAAATGGTTCTTTTCTCCACAGCAAAGGCTACAAAGTACCAAGAGTAAAGCCGTTTGTCCTTCCTTAGAGAATAGTACGCCTGTGTTCAAATCAGCCAATCTCTGCAAAGGCTTCCCAGGCCTGTCCAGTTGCCATTGTCTAAACAATCTCTAACTGAACAATAGAAAACATCACTGCTACAACCACAGAAGTAGGTCACCCTTTGGATTTTCAACTTTGCTTTATAACATATATTGATTGTCATTGTTATCAAGTTCATCTGCTTTAGCAGTATTCAGTTTAAACTTTATTTTTACCTCAAAAACTTCTTCATCTAAAATCCTCGTTCCAAAAACTGTGATTCCATTGGTATCAACGATTGATCTCTCACTTCTATCAAGTGGTTTTGTGGTTTTCTTCTTACAATCAACAATCATTGTCACAGTTTTCTTCTCCACACTGATTGCTACCCGGTGCCACCTGAAAAAGCCAAGTAATTCCTTTGTGAATACAGTGACATTAGCTGCCAAACTATTATTTATGTAAAATATTGTATATTTTAAATTGCAAAAGTTAACTGGAATGATACAAAATTGTACACTTATTTATGGATCAATTGACAAGCAAGTGACTGCTTGCTGTTTTCCCAGCACAGTGTTAGAGATTCAGAAAGAGTCAAAAAGATTAAGATGTACAGCCAGATTCGTTGTCTAGGCTGGTAAGGAGGTGTCCATCTTTCGCTTCACTTTGGGTTGTAGCAACCAAGTCAAATCTCACCGTATTCTGATGAGGGTATTGATAGCGATTAGGAAGGGATATCAGGCAAGTAATAATTTTTATGTAGATAAATGCTTTCTTCCAAAGTGGAATTCCACTTTTAAAATTCTGCTCTAGTGATCCCCAGACAGTGACTGTAAAAGGGTACATCTACTAATTGATAACTGTTCCATCTGGAGGGACTGAACATTCAAATTATATAACACAATGTGCTCCTCTGTCTTTATCCTCCTTTATTTCGAGTATTTTCGCTTTCATTTTCCACTTTAATTTCAAGACAATTAAAGATCACTGCTGTGGGTAGGATCCAGGCTGAGACACGGCATTTCCCCTTCATTCCAGGATTGGCAGGAAGTGGGAACACTGAAATAAAGCATAGTCAGCGCATGTGTGCGGTGAGAGTCTCGATTCACTCTGCAGCTACTGCTCCTGTTAACTCAGGGCGGTGACAACAGGCTTTCAGAGGGCAACGTGACCAGACCTTGGAAACACAAACTCTAGACATACTGTTAAAAAGTGGGGTTTGTTAACAATATCTGGTGCTAATATAAACCACTAAGTAAAGTTCACTTGCGTTCTGCAAGGCATTCTGCTTTGCACTTTTTCCAAGTGAAAAGTGGTAGATTAATATTCCAGAAGTGTCTAGGACTAGATCCATAAAATAAAGTACCCAAAAACCTGCAGGAGCCATCCTAAAATGCCTGTTTTATGATATTTGGCATGGTTTCTGATGAGGATCAAGTACATTTCCATATACGCTCCTCAATCTTTGATCTTTCCACTAGCACATCCAACTAGCATTGGTCTTTCCTTAGCTTGAATAAAGCAAAGATTTATATAGGCAGTCACATAATATAGTGAGAGTAAAATTTACATGTAGCTCATTCCAAGAAGCCTGTGTTTTAAATTAAAGTATTTCTAATATTGTAGGTGTGTGCTTTTCATTACCAGAAAGTAAAATAAATGATTTCAATTTTTAAAAGTTGATCATTGGGATATCAAAATAACAAAGTGCATATATTCAAAATACTGTTTAAAAATAATAAATGAACAGTTTGAAATTATTCTCTTTCCTAATCATACATCATCAGAAAAATCTCTTCAGTTCTTACATTCAAAGTATAAACAAAATCTAATTTCTATCAACTCTGATGCAGGGTGTGTCCTCTATCACCGAGAGTCCTATCAGATCTCTGCTTCCATTGTCTTCCAAGTGACTTTTTGCTTTCTGACTATGCCTGGCTCACTATACTTCCTTACTGCCTCTGGCACCTGGTCATTCTGCAGGCAGCTCTTCCTCCTCATCCTCACTGCCCCCCACTCCACACTTGGCTTAAAGTGACAACAACAAAAAGAACAGCCCAATCCAAGATACATCGATACAGCCATTACTTTAATTTATTTTCATCCATACAACTCTCAGAGCTTTGTATATGAAGCATGTGTTTGTCTATTGCTTCTCCTTTGGAACAGGAATGTAGTTACTTCACCGGAGCTGTTTGCTGTTGCAACACATGTGTCCTAAAGGTTATCTAAGAAATGGAGAGCAGTAAATACTCATGGAATGGAATGAATGGCCGATCACTCGTGAGGAATGGTACGATTGTTCTTGACAAATTAAAGCATGTTAATTACCAATTTCTTTTACATTTAAACTGTTATTATTCCAGTAGGGCTCAATAAATATGTCATATTTTAACTGTCAAATTGAATGATACAGTGTTGTCACATGGGAAGCATTTAATGAATCGTTATTGAATGAATACATGAATGCAAAAGTGAATCAGTATTGCTATGTATTAATTTAATTTAATATATTATTAAGAAAATATTTTACCACTGTGAGATATGTAAGTATAAGTTCTTGTCCTGCTTGACAATTACTCAAAAATATCTATTGAACATTTGTCGTATTTTAGTTTAATAATTTGTTCACACAAAGCACTGTTTATTATTTTCAAATAGGATTTGGGTGCCAATAAATTCATTTTTTTAGTTAAGAGCAAGATGAGGTTTTAAAGAGTGTGAATAATATGATAAATGTAATATTTAGTGTTGTTCTAAACATGAATTAAAGTTTTACCTTAGTGTTTGCTAATGATCAAATAAGATACACAGTACAACATAACATTTATTTACCCATAAGATAACAACATAAATCATTAAGAGAATAAAATTTTTCCTGACACTGTTACCTGAAGTTTCTCTATGGTCATAACAAAGATACAACAAATATAAGGTTTTGTCTGTTTTTGCTTTTTGTTTGCATAATTATTTCCTTGTACATCTATAACAAATGTTCTGTATCAGATCAAATTATTTTTAGAGGCTTGAATTCAGAAAAAAAATGCAGTAAACTTACTGCACTTTTGTATGCTGCTGTTCCGTGATTCAGAAGAGTACAGTTTCGGCCTGTTACTTAAACTTAAATGCCACTTCTACCACATTCCAATTTTACGACCTTAGGGAAACTACTTAAATTTTCTTTGCCTCAAATTCCTTATCTGTGATTTTTATTGACATTATTTTCCTTAAATAACTGAGATAAATTAAATGAGTTAATTATATATTAGATGCTTAGAACAGTATCATATAAGGCTCCCCATTATCATCAATGTTAATATTACTGGTTCTAAAAAAAAGTCAAATTAGATCACTTCCCTACTTAAAAAAGTTCCAGTCACTTATCTTACTGAGAAAAAAGCACAAACTCGCTTAAAACCTCCCACCAAGTTCGCCGCATCTGGCCTCCCTGGTTTTCCATCTTTAGCATCCACTCTGCTCCTGTCACACTGGTTCTCTTCATGTCTCTGGAACAAGTGGGTCACGCACACCTTGGAACCAGAGGCTGCTTTGGCTTTCTCTCCTCTGGGCTATCATTCTCAGCAGAGCAGGACCCGGACTCCTCCACACGTCACCTCGGGGAGGTTTCCCAGACCACCCTCCACCCACTGCCCTTCCGTACCTTCTGCACTGTTCTATTTTTCTCTCCCTTATACCAATATGTTATTAGTATACTTTTCAAATTTTTCATTGATTGTCTACCCTGATGGTGAAGTAATTTTTTTTTATCGTTTTCGGCAGCCCTTAGAAAAGCTACATCACACTTCATAAATATCAGTTGAATGACTGAAAGAATTGTTTTCAGGGTAACAAACACATTTGATCACCATGTCACTTACTTCCCATCAGCGATGTTAACAGTTCTGAAGAGGGGATAGTCTTCTGGGGCAGGTTTACCAGTGTGGTCTTCAAACAGAAAAACAGGTGATCTCCCAACCTCAACACCAACTTGCTGAATGCCATGCTCATTATATATGGATAAAAGGAAAGACTGAATTCCTTTTTTGGGTTTTACTGTAAACAATATTGAAAAATCTTCTGGGAAAGTGCCACCTGAGAAGAAAAGGTCAAAGAATAAGAAATTCTCCATCTGCAAATTGTTCCTACAGCATAACGTCTTTTTTTTAACCCTCTATATAGCCCCAATAATCACCTAAATTTAACTTTAACAAACAAAGATGTGTTATAGTTTGGATCTAAAATGTTTCTCGAAAGGCCCCTGTATTGGAAATGTGACCCCCAAGGCAGTAATGTTACAGGAAGGGATTTTGGAAGATGACTGGATCGTGAAGTCTAACTTCAGCTGTGAGTTAATGCATTGATGAGCGTAGCTAAAAGGGAGAGGGCTGTGAAGGCATGACCGGGACTATTTTCTTGCGTTCCTGGCACTTGCCTCTTAAGCTCTCCTCTCTGCTTATTGGTTGCAAAGAGGTAAGTAGCATTCCTCCATCTGCCCTTCTGCCGTGATACACCAACTTATTACAGGCCCAGAAACAGAGGAGCAGTCATCATCAAATGAAACCTCTGAAATCACTTGCTAAAATGAAATTTTCTTTCTTCAAATTGCTCTTCTTAGGTATTTTTTTCATAGCAATGAAAGGTTCACTAACAAGGGTGAATAACAAGGCAAGACTGGCTCTTTCATATTTTTGCTGTAGAATTAATCTAAATTAAGGCAGGGCATTTAGCTCAGTGGTTCCACTGCCTGCTTTGCAAGCACAAAGTCTAGAGTTCAATCCCGGGTACCAAAACAAAACAAAATAAATTGTATTCAAATTTTAAAGTCCGTCATCTAAAGCATGATTACATGAAACTGAATTGAAAGTTAGGAAGCAAGAATATGGTGCCAGGATGGTATCAAATGCAAGAAAGTTCGCTTAACATAGTTATTTAAGCACTATTTTTGGTGTAGGGTTTGCATTATCTGGCTTTGTCTAGTGAATACCCCACACATTCTCTCTTTAAAGAGGAATTTCAGTGACGTGAAATACAAAAGTATTATTTTCACCATCTCTTCAAAAGCCAAAGAGATTCTGATCAGCCGTTCCCATCACACAACAGAAAAAGTATATATTATGATAAATCTGAAGTATTAAATACTTCGGTAACTTAATTCTCAGTTCAAAGGCATACTGTCATTATTTTTTTCTTTTTCCTGTCACAGGCATACCTTAAATATCTGACATCTGACATAATGGGGAATACTCACAGTTGCTTCCTAAACATTTGTTGAATTTCTCAGGTAAATGATTACCCTAAATGTATTTCAGCTAGTCAAGCAATAATTCTTTTTTGTATTTTTAAAAATATAATGTATTAAATTGTGAGTTTTATTTATCCCACTAGGTTTACTTGTATATCTTATTGAATCTTCCTACTGTTGTGCTACATAAATAGGCAACATTACTGAGGAATGAAATGATTTCTGTTAGAAAGTTGTCCTTTTGTATAAGAAGTGTCTCATACTCAAGTCATCTTCCTGCTACAGGCAGTAGTATAGCATGATAAAACATGAATATGACCATCAGAGTTCAAACTATAACAAAACATCAGCATTGCACTTTTAAGAATTTGAGGAGGGAATGCTCACATGAAAGATATTATGCTGTTGATTTATTAAAGCATTGTTTAAAGAAATAAAATATTAAAATAGGTGGCACTGCTGGGTATCTTTCAAAAAAAATTAAAATAATCATATCACAGAGATATATGCACACCTATGTTTATAGCAGCACAGTTTGTAATAGCTTAAACTTGGAAACAGCCCATTTGCCCATCAGTTGGAAACTGGATAGAGAAGATGTGGTTTTTCTATAAAATGGAATACTACTCAGCCATAAAGAATTAGAGATTAGATTCATTCATAGGAAAATGGATGCATATTGAGGATATACTCCTAAGTGAAATAAATAAGTCACACATGTGCAAATACCAAATAGTTTCTCTGGTGTGAATAAACTACAATGGACACAACATCCTAATGATAAAATGGACAATGTGAAATAGGAAGAAAGGGGCTAAAGGTGTAGGGAAAGTGGGAAGGGCAGGGGAAAGGTAATAAGGGAAAAGCAAAAAAATATGAGAAAATGAAAAAATGTAAATGAAGTGTTTGTAAAGGGGGAGGGGAGGAGGGGTGAAGGGAGGGCAGGGACAAGGGGAAAAAATGAGAACCAAGACCTGTCATGCAAAGGTACAAGATCCCAATAATGAATGTAACTGTACTGTATACCTAAAATGTACCAATAAACTCAATGAGGAAAAAAAAATTTTGGATCTTGTGGAGTCATTTGGTTCAAATGGTCATCTCATGCATTAACTGGAAACACAGTGTAATCTATTCCACAGAGCTGTCATGTTGATTAAATGAGGGTGTCACAGAAAGCATTTGTTCAATATTTACTACTGCTCAGCATACATATGTATATATGTGTATGTGTGTGTGTGTGTGTGTGTGTATCAAAACTAGCAGCTAAGAGTTCATCTAAAGATTTTCAATACTATCATAGAAAAATCTATTTATCTGTCTAGTTCTGTAGCAAAGTCTACTCAATTCAAATGTATTATTTATACATACTTTTATTCAACTTGTTTTAGTTTTTGTTGTGCTGAAGAGTGAATCAAGGGCCTAACACCAAGTGCTGCATCATTGAGCCATATCTTTAGCCTTCAATTTGTTTAAATGTCCTAAAAATCTAATTTAGTACTTGTGAAAATTAAAAGAAGAAAAAGAATAATTGAAGAAATTGAAAAGGTATTAACCACATCAATTAACAAAATTCTTTTTATATTCCTATAGTATAAATATCTGTATGGGTAATTCAAGTTATTGTTGAAGAAAGTTTATAGCAAATGAACTTCTTCAAATGAGTACCTCAGAATGTTGTAAATTGTAGGAAAATTTACTCTACATGTATCTTAATTTTTTTAAGAGTTCATACAATTGGGAAAGTAAATGATTTAAAAATATTATGAGTCAAGGGAAAACTACACCTGTTTTGTAAAAAAAAAAAAAAGTGAAAAAAATCCACAAAAATTTAAGAAAGGAGAAATTTCAGGATACAATATATTAACATAAGACTAAACAAACTGTGAAAATTTAATCACCCAATATATATGGCATAATTTAAAAAATCTTAATTTTCTTACCTAGTGACTAAAATCTTTCCATTATGAAAATATTTCTATTTTCTAATTTAAAACTTACCTTTACAATTTTAATTATAGCTATTAAGCTTTGAGTTTTGAGAAATAAAATTCAGCTTCCTAAAAATTATAACTTGATGGTATAATTTTCAACCTAATCTAGACAACCTCCCTTAGTTACCTTCATACAAAATTTCAATCAACATTACTCTTAATTGAGTGAAATTATCCGGTAGAATTCATGTAATATATCGATAGTAGAAATGTCCACTTTACATGGAAATATTTTCCTGAAATTGCAGTAATTATATATAGCACAGATAAAATGTGGAGTTTTACAACTTAATCCATATTTTAAAATGTAAAAATACAAACTAAGGATAAAGTATGGTAAATAACTTGCTTTTAAGAAAACCATTACAACCAGGCACTGTGGTACATGCTTGGAGTCCCAAGACTTTCTGAGGTCGGTAGAGAAGGATTACACAAGTTCAAACCCAGCCTGGGAAAGTTTGTGAAAAAGTACCCGGGAAGGGGGGATGTAGCTCAATGTGAATTCCCTGTGTTCAGTACCCAAAACAAAACAAAAGAAAAAAAAGCTATTACTACACTATTTGCTATATGTGGCTATAAATTCACAATATTCAATAACAATTATGGTTTAGTATGAGCATAAAAGAACGGTGATAAAGATGAACTTTTAAAATCAATAGATGCTGCATCCATGAATAAATTTGATATAAAAAGGTATAATAACTTTGTTATTTGTCTCTAATTCTAAAAATTAAAATCAATATTTTTTCATGTGGCATATATCTTTAAGTAAAATACATTTATGTTGTAGTTCAGTGATCCAGAAAGATGTTTAATTGGTGTTGGAAAGCCATTTTGTAGAGAGTGAAGTTATGCTTTAAGAGAAAGCAGAATGGTCTCCCATTTTAATATTATTCTTGGTTTCAATTATACTCAAATATTTCACATTTTTAATTCCTAATCCCTGAATGGAGTTAAGTATCCCTCTTCTCTGATGATTATGAAGATATGGCTCAATATACATAAAGTTTCCTATATGGCTCAGGTCAGGTCTTATAAAGAGGATAGACTGACTATGCAAATTAGTTTATATTCAATTCCAATGCACACTTTCAGACATTTAAAGATGAAAAATTAAAATTTTGAAGAGCATATATCTTAATTCTAGCAGAATATTTTAATGACTGTATCAGAAAGATCCTCATTCCTCCCATCAATGACTGCTAAAGTTTCTAGTACTCCTGCTTACATTATTCATTAGAAAAGAAGTTGCTTTCATATCTTTCTACAATAGAATATAGGGTATCTAAACAGTTTTTAAGGATCATCTTAATTAATTTATAATTATATTCATTATTTTGATATTTTAATGATCTTGTCATTATTATATTTTCTTAATTGTCATTTTAATGAAAGAGGAATTAATTGATAGGCGGCTCTACCCTTTAGGAAGGCAAGGTATCTATGAAACGTGTTTGATTTTATCTGAAATATTCATTACTGGAATCACATACATAAGACACAATATTGTGAGAAGAGGAGAAACTTATGTAGATAAATAAATTATATCAGCTGAATACAAGATTTTTTCAAGCATACGTTATATTCTTGCTCCGAGAGCAAAACAATAAATTATTAAATTAACCAACTAAATATCACACAAAAATGCAGAAAACACTGACCCTGTGATATTAAGCCAATTATAAAAAGAAATTTTAAACTTTTTGAGTATTTCTATATTTCTTCTTGTCTACTTTTCACTGGTTTTCTTTTTTCAGTATCTTCCACCTCTTTCCTTTTAGAAATACATTAAAATATTAATCCAAGTACAGTTAATTTTAAAAATTAATTTTACTATTTAGAATTTTTCTATGGATTTTTGAAATGTTATGACTTACTTTAAGCTTTAATTTTCAAAATCAGAAAAAGTATGGATTATATTATTTATATATGCAGTTTGTTAGTATTGCTCATCAAAAATCATTAACATATATTAGAAAATTCAATAAATGAACAATAGTTTTCAAATATCGCCATGAAAAGTATATTTTGTTATTTTATAACTTTAATAGCTTGATTTATACTTTCTATTGGTAAACGCACTTTTTAAATTTCCCATTTAATTAGACAAAGCATAGGACAGTATGAAGAAGAAGAATTTCTACTGAAAAAAATCTTAAAGCACCAAAGGGAACATTTCATAATATATTTAATATTGGCCTTTAAGTAGACAGACCTGAAATAAATACTGATCCTCATTTAGCTTGGTTAACTCAGAGGTATTTGTGAATTTCAGGTTTCTCTTTTACTAAATAGAGATAAGGACACCCAACTTGAACTGATAACACTATATAGGGTGTGACTGAAAACTACAAGTGTTTAAAATAAAACATTTTATTAAAGTAAAATACACTGTCATTTACCTCCCCAGAATACTCCCTCTCTCTTCAAACACACTTATATCATCATTTGTGCTACATTCTGAGGCAATTCTGGGAGTCCTCTTTCATGAATGTCGTTACAGGATGTGATAAAAAATATGAACAGTTCCATCTGTCCAGTACCATTCCAATGGGAGTGCAGGTTCTATACTCTTACGTGAAACACATAGGACACACGCGTAAATACTGAATAGTTTCTCTGGTATGAGAAAGTGAGTTTAAATACAGATCAAAATGTATAATAATAATAATGTGAAATAGGAAGAAAGGATCAAAAGGGGAAGGGGAAGGGGAGAGGAAAGTAGGAAAAGGAATAAATTTGAGAAAAGCAAAAAGTGGAAACAGTCTTTGTAAATAGGGAGGGTTGGAGGGGTTGAAGTGGGGGGCAGGAGAATGGGGGGAAATAAGAACCAAGATATATCATGTAAAATTCCCAGTGATGAATGCCATTATATTGTACACTTGAAATGTACCAATAAATTTAATGAATTAAAAAAATTATGATTTGTCCTCATCTACCTTATTCAAAGAATCTGGCATCTGGCTACTTCTGGTCAAAATGACCATGAAAGGTAAATGTTGTTAACTCATTCAGGTCATCAAAGCAGCCATGGCAGCTCAACTAAAGACACTCACAAAAGAGGGTGTCCAGAACTGCTTAAGAAAATGGCAAGAATGGGATGTATGTTCAAGTGAGGGCACTGTTTTGAGGAGGATTACCAACAATATATATTTGACTACAGCAAATTTTTTTAAACACACACTGTATTTTTCTATCAGACCTCATGTAATTGACATGTATCAGTGGCAATCAAATGTAATGAGCTACCTGCTTAGGAAATATAATAATACTTAACTCCTTTTCTCCTACTTTATCATAATTAATAGATAATTAATGTCATATCACCCAGTGATTTAAAAAATATTTATCAAGGATTTTTTTGTTTCATTATGAAAACCTGCCAGGTGAGGTCTTAAAATCTCTAGTCCCAGAATTCCCAGAAATTGCTTTCAACAGAAACATTTACATTAATATTGGGAAAACATTAAGTGAATCTAAATCCATGTGCCTATTAAACTGACCTAAGTAGAATAAGAGTAAGGTTTCCTTCACTGCCCTTAATGAATAATTCTACCTGATTACATAGAAAAATGGGATAGTCATAAAATGTTTTCTTAACATTTTGTCATGTTAAAATAAGTTTTTATATATTCTCATAAGTATATATTTCAGCCCATGATTGCATCTTACATAGCATGATCAAAAGAAATAATTAACAATGAAATGGAAGTAATATTAGCAGTAAAAACAGTAATAGTGATAATAGTAAAATGATACAGTGAACATACCTGGAAATAACTGTTTTGTTGGAGCACTGATTTGTGCTAACTTTGAAACTCTATACGCAGTATCTGAGCCTTTAGAATTCTTTCTGTTTGTGCAAAATCCTGTTGTTTTTGATATTCCCTCTGGAGAACTGTGAAAATCTAGTGCTTTTAGTACATCAACTGGAGTAGCTGAAAAATAAGTTGAAAAAGTAACTGAGCAAACAATATGATATAAAATGGGTACTTTAATACAGAGAAGAGTACATCATTTCATTCTTGAAATCTACTACTGTGCCTTCCTAACATTTAGGGGAGTGGGACTACAGGTACTGATATAAATTATAAATGCATTCATGAATAAAAAATTCTCAAGTCTAGAATAAAATTACAGAGAAGTAAAACAGGTGTTTAAATGTGTGTCTTTGGAATTTAATTAGCCTATAAGTATACGTGTGTAGAAATATATATGCAAGTCACATAGCTACAAACATGTTAATAAAGCTTTCCATAACTTGCCTTGTACAGTGCAATGAATCTAATTTCCTTTAACAATGAAGTCCTGTCTACTTATTACATCAAGCTTCTGAATGAAATCTCACTAGAGTAGGGCACACATTATTTCAAATTATTAAAAAGAAAAAACTGTTTATGAAAATCAGATACTTTTAAAGGATTGTATCAAATATGACAGTCTGTAGTTCAATTTTGGAATATTTTTAACAGAATCATAAAGACACTGTTTTTACTAGTCTTGATTACAGTGGTCATTTTTTTAGATCAGTAGAATACCTGACCATTGTTAAGGGCTTATTTTGTCTTATATAACTAAGAAAATGACATTACAGTAATTGATATATTCAGAGAACCTAATGTATGCCAGTTAAGCTCTGTAGAGTCATTAATTCTTAGAAATCATATCCTCTTATCCTAAGTCTTCAGGTGAGAAAATTGAGAATCAAAGAACAAGCTAAGGATGCTCCTAAGTTCTGTGGAAATTCCAAGGCTATGCTTTTTCTTACTTCACCACCCTCCCTGTTATGCACTAAACATGAAAATTCTGCAGAAACTTAAAACATACATATAATAGTCTGAAATTATTTTGACCCAGTTAATTGATTCCTGATGTCGATATTTATTTTAAATTCAATTTAATTGTGTTTCAGCATATAAATCACTCTGGAGGAAAATGTTACTGAAGAAAACGTTTTATTTCCTTATTTTGTCTTCTTGCAAAGCCTTTTTCAAAATAAGCGGAGTATGACTGCAGGATAGACATGAACACAGCCGGAAGTTTGTAATCCAGAAAAGAAATGAAAGGCAGCACATGGGTCATGGTCAGTTAATAAAGTCCCAAGGTCCCGTGGTCATGGTCAAAACTGGGCTTATAACACACAATGGGCCAGAACTTTCCATTTCTCTACACTATCTGTTAACACAGTGATCTTTTCCAGGAGCACAGGCTTTGTCGTATTTGTTCCTTTCTTCTAGAAAATGAATGTGATTTTAAAAAATATAAACTCTGTGCAAGATTCAAGACAAGGGCTCTCTTTTCTAATGTTTGATAAAGTTCTTTGTAATGACACATGATATGAAATCAAAATTCACTCCTGAAAACCCCAGTAAAAAACAGGTGCACATAGTGACGGAAGCCATTTGGAATTCAGTTACTTGATCTATAGCCCTCATCATACATCATTTAAATAAATGGCCCTGTAATAGTTTAGCTTTCTAATGTCCCCCAAAAGTCTCAGGAGTTTACAAGGTGATTTTACATGGTGGTGTTACATTCATCAGCCTTCCACGGATGAGTTCAGTAGCTAACTGTGCAACTGAAAGACGAAGCCTCCTCCTCAGAAGAGGATGAACGTGGGATGGGAAGGGACTTGGAAGGGCGTGTTCTTGTCCCCGGCTCTTCCTCACTTCCTGCTTCCTGCCTGTGATACAGGGAACAACTTTCCTTCACTCTGTCCTTCTGCCATGCCATTTCTGCCTTGGAACCAGCCAACCGTGGATTGAATCCACTGAAACTGTGAGACAAAGTCAAACTTTCCTCCTTTAAGTTGCAGGTCTAAAGAAAGTATTTTTATCCCAGCAATGGAAGGATTTATGTTTCATGCACATATATAGGAAAACTATCCTTCATATTATATTGTTATATTTAAATATTTAAAGCAATAATTTAACAAAATAAGAATCAGGATATGTCCTGTAAGGGTACAAATTCCCAATGATAAATATCATCATATTGTATACCTAAAATGTACCCCTAAACTTAATGAATTAAAATATCCAATATTCAAAGCAATTCTTAAATGCCCTCAATGTTTTAATTCTTTCTGTTTTGAATTTGTACTGCAGATTATATTTAAGCATTTCATATATTCTAATTCACTACAATAACTTGTACAATTTATTTTTCTGATTTTATTGCATACCTATAAGCTTATTTAAATGGTAGAATTCGACACCGAAATCCAATATACTGCTTCAAAGGCCATTTTGTATAGTTTGGAACCTGAACATTCCCTAAAGACTCATGTGTTGAAGACCTGATCCCCAGCCTATTGTGCCACTGAGAGTTGGGGCTCCTTTAAGAGATGGGGCCTAGGAGAGTAAGTTATGCGACAGGAGGGGTGACCCAGACCTGGCTCCTCCCTTTCTCTTTGCTACCAGCTTATTTGAAGTGAGGAGCAACTCTTCTCCACAACTCACGTCCTGCCACGATAGGCTGACTCATGCAAAGTGAATCTCTCCTGCTTCTGAACGGATTTTCTCAGTATTTTGTCACAGCAATGGAAAGCTGACTGACACCATTCAGCCCCATGTCGTTTTCCATCAATCTGCATACCATAGCTTCACTGAGCTTCCAAAAATCCATGTTTCAAGTTGCTATGCTGCCTCAATTCCTTCAGAGAGCCCCACTGACTTCCAGATGCTGTTTGCATTCCACGTTCCTTGCAGGTAAAATCTTGATGATCTGGACATACTCACTTATTCTTCCAGTTTTACCACCAATGCACGTTCATTCTTATCTCTCCTTACCCCGTAATTCCTTTCTCACTCAGTGCTCTACCACACTGAATTCAGGCTTTCCAGAAACGTACTCTCCTTCTCTACCTTGGGGCCTTTATAAATCTTATAGCCACGGACCCTCTCTGAAACATTTATTTTACCTCTCTTGAAAAATAAGTAGGACTGATATGGTACCAACTCCTGAAGACATCGCCTGCCTCCTAAAGCTGGGTTAGGTATGTTAACCTCCACATAGCACCTTGAACACTTGGTTTTAATCATTTAATTTTTTACCTATATTTGCATGTTTTCCCAAACTTGAGAGGAGAGGTATATATAACACACAAGCACACATGCACACACCAAAGAGTCTGAAATTTGAATGTTAGTTGCACGACCACCCCCTCATCAGTTTGATCCCAAGTCTCTGATCTTTTCCTTCCTGTTGCCTTCAGCGTCTACGTGAATTAACAACCAACATCTCACAGTACTCAGTTATTTCTTTCTCTACTTTGTCCTCTAAGCTTTTTCACACACTCCCACGACTGGAAGTAAAACGAAGGATTACATAGTGTAGAACAGAGCCAGGCAGCTTCTGAATTCTACCCCTGCCACTTAGCACCTGTGGAATTGGGGCGTATTACTTAACTGCTCTGTGCCTCAGCTCCCCCATCACTAAAATGAAAAAGAGTGAAATGATTTACCTCAAAGCCTTTGCCAAAACAGTTTAAGTATTTGTAACCGTGGCTGAAAACGGTGGCAAGAAGAACTGTACATGAAGGTTAAGTCCTTTTTGCCAACTATTTTATACGGTACACCCGATAAAATTAGTTTTTCATTTCAAATGGTTGAAAAATCAAAAGAAAATTATGTTTGAGACATCAAAACGATTTGAAAATTGAATTTCAGCTCTCGCAGATGAGATATGTATTATAATTTAGCCATACCCAATCACTTATAATCCATAGCTACCTTTGCACTAGGAAGTGTTCCATAGCTAAGGTGGGGGGAGTTTGTGTGGTCCACAGCTGCTAAAATATTGATTATGCGACCTATTGAGCTCAGTCATGAAGGATGAATTAAATTCCACACTGAAGAGAAGGGGAAAACAAGTATGACAGTGCAGATACGACAGAGAAGAGTTCAGGGAAATTAAAGCAGTCATGCTTGCCAACAAGATATCAACATTGTACAAGTTAAGTCACCCAGATTCTCCCTGGATGCTCCAGGGTTGCTGAAGACCTGGAGAAACAATATCTCTGTGTCATAATTTCACTGCCACAAATTTGAAATGAACCATTGTGAGGTCAAAAGGACACAACAGAAAGTACATAGAAATTAGAAATTTTGTTTCATAACACCTATTTACTCACCTATCTCTAAATCTGTTAGTCTAGATGGAATAAACATTTTTCAGTTTCTAAAATGTACCTTGATTTATTTAGGAATTTTTTTCCACATCCTTCCACAACTGACTAAGGATATTTGACTGATTTTTCTACCCTGTCATGAGAATCCTTGGAGAGCTTTTAAAGAATATAGATTCCTAAGTCCCACCCCAGAACTAATAAACTGGAATGACTGTAGTGAGGTCCAGGCATTCATAAATCTTCACAATTTCCCAGAGACTCTAATGTGCAGCCAGATATGGAATCTGGTAGATTCAGACTTAGCCTTTTGGTCTAAACCTAAGCATGACATTCTCCAGGAAATCTTAACTTATTCCTTCCGGGGTTGGTTGTGTAACCCCTCCATAGTGCCCTATGTTAATTACCCTTGTGTAACCTACACTATTTTGTCTGCTATTTTAGGCTATGTTTTATCAAGTACATATAAATCATGGTATTATTTTTCCTGTTATATACACTGATATCTCTCTGTTGCTCCCTCCCCCCCCCTCTCTCTGTTTCATGCAGTTTATCACATTTGCCGACTCTGGCATATTGTTAATGCTATTGATGTTCATTGTTGTACTATCAAGGCATAGCCAAAGAAGCACAATAAATAATCAATAGAAATACATTGAATAGGTGAATGAATGAGTAGCTGCACCCTGTCTCTTAAGTGAAGTATCCCACCAATCTGAGAAGGGAAAGGAAGAAGATTGGAAGTGACTCAACAACTCATATAGCTTCCAAATTTGGTCATTTTCACCTGTACCAAAATTCAGATATGGT